TTTTTTTTTTTAATTAGCTGGGCATGGTTGTGCACACTTGTAGTCCCAGCAACTCTGAAGGCTGAGGCGGGAGGATGGCTTGAGCCCAGGAGTCCGAGGCTGCAGTGAGCTATAATTGCACCAGTGCACTCCAGCCTGAGCAACGGAGCAAGACCTTGTCAAAACAAAACAAAACAAAACAAAACAAAACAAAAGCTGGGCACAGTGGCTCACACCTGTAATCCCAGCACTTTGGGAGGCTGAGGCAGGTAGATCACCTGAGGTCAGGAGTTCGAGACCAGCCTGGCCAACATGGTGAAACCCCATCTCTACTAAGAATCCAAAAATTAGCCAGGTGTAGTAGCATGCACCTGTAATCCCAGCTACTCAGGAGGCTGAGGGAAGAGAATTGCTTGAGCCCGGGAGGCGGAGGTTGCAGTGAGCCAAGATCACACCACTGTACACCTGCCTAGTTGATAGAGCGAGACTCCGTCTCAAAAAAACAAAAACAAAAAAAAAAAAACCTTGCTCTAGTAGCCAAAAACCTAAGTTGAGTTGCCACAATGAAGAGTCATAGTGTCTCGCCCAGATTTTAGACCTAAGTCAGCATAGATCCAGAGGAGTCACTTAATTGGAGAGAAGATTGGTTCTCCCTGAGAGAGGAACTATGCCCTGTTTACTAGAGTGTGCATCAGGGAGAAGAAAATACCCAGACCTTTTGAGGATTCCTAGACATTGGCTCTGAATTAATGCCAATTTCTGAGGATCCAACATGCCACTGTGGCTCATCACTAAAAGTAGGGGCTTAAAGACAGATGGTCAGGTGCTAGACGGAGTCTTAGCTCAGCCCCAACTCACACCAACTCACAGAGGGCTCAGTTGTTCTATGGTCCCACCCTGTGGTTATTTCCAAATTTCTGAGAGTATAATAGGAATAACCATCAATGGGAACTGCAATCCCACACTGGCTCTCCCACCCCTGGAGTGAGAGAATCATGGTGGAAAGGGCTAAGGGAAAGTCCCTGGAACCTCCACTTCCTGTCAAGACAGTTAACCAGAGGACCGGGTGTACCAATGAAGGGAGAAGCTCATAGTGTCTCCGCGTCTCTACTTACAAAGATATTTAATATGAGCTCTAAAGCCAGACTAATAGATCAATTACAGGCACCGAGGGGCATCACTATAATTGGAGATGGAAGATTGGTTCTCCCCTAGAGAGAGGAAATGATATACTATCGCCATAGCTATACATAGCTCAAGGGTGTCTGAGGCAGGAGAAATCACTGCATCAGGGAGAAGAAAATACCCAGACCTTTAGGATCCTAGACACTTGGCTCTGAATTAATGCCAACTTTGTCATAACGCAGGATCCAGGCGAAACATGGCCACTGAGTAGCTGCATCTCAGCTCCAGAATATGTAGTGAGGAGTTGTGCCTTGCATGGGGCTTCAGAAGACAGAGTGGCGAGAGCTGACAATTAGAAGGAGATCTTAGCCACGCCGCGCTCTCAAAAACATACAACCAACTGCAGCCGTAGGGCGCGGCTCAGGTTGCGCTTTACTAACCTGTAATGTGCGTTCCCCCAGCACTTCTCCTCGTGGGTGGGTTAGCGTTTCACTAAATTTCTGAGAGTATCAGGAGATTCACCATAAGAATAGACCATCAATGGGAACTTCGCAATCGTGCGCAAACATCATGCTAGGGCTCCCTTTCTCTAAACCACCTCTGAGTGAAGAGAATCATGGGTGGAAAGGGCTAAGGGAAAGTCCCGCTGGAACCTCCACTTCCTGTCAAGACAGTTAAGCCAGAGGACAACCAAGCGAGAAGTGGTGATTACAGTTGGGGTTTCATTTATGCGAGAAGGTTTTGGAGAACGGCCTCACTAACCTGGATCAAACTCATATCATATATATTCACGATTCACAATGATTTGTCAGCAGAAATAACTACGTATCAGCCATAAGAGGACGGAGATCGGTGTTGTTCTGTGTCTAGAACTATACTATGTGTTTTACATTTTTTAGATGTTCGGCCTATTAATTTTATAGAAGTTTTTGTGTTTGTAGAGACAAAACTTATGCACGCGTAAGAGCTATACCGACAGTTCTCGATATGTTATACTCCCCTCGTGCCAGCTATGAATAAATATCACAACAAATCTTTTATAGCCCTAGTTCCGATTCGTATGGGCATAGGTATGTTGTCAGTGAGATCTGGTGAAACTCATATTAACACATATTATCTAAAGTCTATACGCACAGCTATCTCGGTATTTGAGAGGGCTTGTGGCGCAGACGTAGAATCGTTCGTTGGAGATTCGCGCAGGCGAGTGTGCCGTGAGAGTAGTACTTAGTGAGACAAGGTGCGCCAGTAAGATTATTCATGTAATGGCACTGCAGCTCCATGTCTCGCGAGTCTTATCAACCTATGAAAGACTCTAGTCTTCAATAATACACCACCATATAAAACGAAAAAAAAAAAAAAAGTTAATCAGAAACATTATCACATCCCGGAGAATTGCAAGAGACTAGTGCCACCCTCAATACTTGAAGGGGCCCAGGTGGGGTGGCTGCAGGCCTATAATCTACCGCAACTTTGGGAGGCAAGGCAGGTGGATCACCTGAGGTCAGGAGTTCGAGACCAGCCTGGGCAACATGGTGAAAACCCATCTCTACTAAAAGTACAAAAATTAGCCGAGTGTGGTGGCAGGCACCTGTAATCCCAGCTACTAAGGATGCTGAGGCAGGAGAATCACTTGAACCTGGAGGTGGAGGCTTCGGTGAGCTGAGATTGTACCACTGTACTCCAGCCTGGTGAAAGGGTGAAACTCTGTCTCAAAAAAAAAAAAAAAAAAAAAAAAGACTTGAATGGGCAGGGGTTTGGCAATTGCTGGTTGGGATGATCTTACAGAAATGACTGTGGACTCATGGGAAACTCACTTTTAGATGGTTGACTCACAATTGCAGCTTGCTGCCCTCACATGTGGTATCTTTTAGACAGCAAGGAAGAAATCAGGCATGAGCCCTAGTGCTGGTGGCAATGACTTATTAAAGACTCAGTTAAGGCCAGATGTGGTGGCTCACGCCCTGTAATCCGCAGCACTTTGGAGGCCAAATTCACTTGAGTCAGATGTTTGAGAACAGCCTGGCCAACATGTAAAACCCCATCTCCACTAAAAATACAAAAAATTAGCCAGCGTGGTGGTGCATCCTGTAATACCAGCTACTTCTGGAGGCTGAGCAAGAAGAATCACTATTGAAATCTGGGAGGTGAAGGTTGCAGTGAGCCGAGATCATGCCACTGCCCACGCAGTTAAGAAATCACTTTAGAGACCACACCCAGAAAGAATGGTTTGGGTTTTTTTTCCCACACAGAGCCTGGGATTTTTTTTTTTTTTTTTGAGAGCAGAGTCTCGCTCTGTCGCCCAGGCTGGAGTGCAGTGGCACGATCCTCAGCTCACTGCAAGCTCCGCCTCCCGGGTTTACACACCATTCTCCTGCCTCAGCCTCCCGAGTAGCTGGGACTACAGGCGCCTGCCACTCGCCCAGCTAGTTTTTTGATTTTTAGTAGAGACGCGTTTTTCACCGTGGTTAGCCCAGGATGGTCTCGATCTCCTGACCTCCATGATCCGCCGTCCTCGGCCTCCCAAAGTGCTGGGATTACAGGCTTGAGCCACCGCCGCAGCCTGGGAGTTGTTTTTTAAGCATAAGATACTATCTTATTTTTTTTTTTTTTTTTC